CAGTTGGTACAAATTCATAAATGAATAATCCCTCTGATACTAAAAAAGGTTAGCCGCATTGTTACAAGTTCATGAACTTAATTGTCAGACCTTCAAATATGTGATATAGATAGTAACTTATACTATATCATACAGAACATGGAAGCATAATGCCATGAGGATGGTGTGTTATGTATGTACGTAGGGAGGAAGCAGCTTGTCTAGACATGGGAGGGCTAAAAAGGGCTCTCTTGAAAAGGGATACCTAGGGAGAGAGGAGGGTTTATTTTGATTTGCAGACACTCACTTCTTTTTTTAATCAGTTCTTACTGGTCATGCATTCAAATCACTGTGCATTGAGAGGACAATTCATGTATCTAGTGGAAGACCTCTAGGCAGAGAAATTAAAGATGCTGTCAATGTGTCAATGACAGTGCTCTAGAAACACAAGCAAAGAATTCTGAAATTCAGCTCTGCTTTCTCTCTTCACAGTTTTGGGTTCCAGTGTTTGAAAAGTAACCTCAGAGATCTTTAAATGAAGAAGAGTAGTTATCTGTTTTAGTAACAATATTAAAATCTTAATTAGCATTTAAAATATTTTAAACCTGTTTATTAAGTCATTAACAAGTTTTATCCAATTATATGTCCAGTCTTTAAATGTCCTTTCATCTGAAGAACTGCTTCTATATTTCTGGTTAATATGAACAAAAGGTGTGCATTTTCCTCTCCAATCCGCTACCAATGAAATATTTCCATTGAGCTTTTCGATAGAACATTTTTATGACATTGTGCAACTCCTGTTTGTCCCCAGCTGTCCCTATGCTAATATCTGGAATTCATTCTTTCTCATAAAAATTAATCACAACACTCCTGTGTTGTTATTTGTGCCTTTATTTTTTGCATGTTCTAGCTGTTGGTTTCCTCTGTTAGGATGAAATATTTAAGAGAGATTCATGTGGTAACTTAAGTTTGCAAATCCTTTGACCAGCCTGGTATTGTTGGCAGTAGCACGCTCCTCATGTCCCTAGTACAGTAAGAGCCTGGGGTGAAAAAAGGGTTAGGTGCCAGGGCTAGAGCAAGACATGGACTTTTTAGTTGATGTTCAGCTTGCTTCTTTACTTACTTGACCTGTTTGGAGGGTTTAACTCCTAACTATTCTTTTATTCTACGACTGCTATAAAAGCCAGTGTTTCTACTGTTATGAAGAAACCAAATGTTCACAACTGTTCATTGCTTTCTTACCTTGGCCTTGGCCTCAGCCTCGGCCTCATCAAACTTAGTCAGGCTTTTCTCTTCCTCCCAGGCCCCGAACTTTGGCTTGCCACAAGTCTGACCACAGCCCAGTCACGCTGTCTGTTTGTACCCACTAGTTTTACTAATTTCATCTCAAAAGTTCCTGCTAGCCTGCTAACCCCTCCCTTAAAAGACCTATTTCTTTTTTTTTTTTTTAA